GGGGATATATTTTATTTATTCCGACTGTACTTTTCTTTTTTTATCTTGAAATCATAATCAAACCATACATATATAAACTAGTACTACCTTTTTCTTTTAGTAATTTGATAGTGGTTTTCAAGATCTTGATGTGTATATTAAATGATATTAATATTCGAATCTTGCATTTTATATAATATAAATAGTGCTTTAACTTGGGAGAACATTCCAAAGCAGATCTTACTCTCTCCTAAATTACTGAATATCTCTATATTTTAGATGCCTAGTGATCTAATCTTACCTTCCAATTTGTCATATCTTACGACAGTTGAAAAAAATAAAAAACTATAGTTAAAGAAATCCATAACTCAATTGATATATATTCATATTATGGTATCTCAAAAGAAGAAAAGAGAAGGAACAATATTGTGTGACTGTCACTGATAATTTTTAATTTTATTTTTTATTTTAAGGAGCATATCATTTTCTCAAGTTGCTTTCCGATCTGATTTTTGGTAGACCATTCACATACATTTTTTTTTCTTTTTTAGAATTACATCCATCCATGATTGTTCACTAAATTTTTTTATTTTTATCCCCTCCATAATCATTAATGCTAATTTATATGCAAAGTAAGATATTATTCATGACACTCAACTAATAATCATCAATATACTTTAAGAAGTATAAATGAAATGAATAATAATAACCCCAAATATTCATCATTGAAGAATGATGGAACTTTAAAATACATTAGAGTTACACCACCATAACTCTAAACATAAGCTCTTTAAGTGAACAAAGTCATTGTTTTAAAATTTCATTCAGAATTTATCTAGAAGAAAGCTTATATCACGGATAACTCTAATAAATAAACTTCAAAAAAAATTAAAAAATTAATAGTTGTGTTTTAACCGAGTTGATCTAAGTTTTTTTATCAAGCCAATTAACTTTTTTACTTTTTTTTTTTTTTCAATTCAAATCAATCCAATCCAATCCAAACATGAATAAATCAGCTTCAAGTTTTAAAATAATGGTTACCAGTGAGCAAGCTCTTCGTTGTCGGGAAATTATTGGTGTTGAGTAACTCATGGAACAAACATACTATAGTAACTGATTTTTTTATAAGTTTTTCTATCTTTAATGATTTTTTTTTAATAGGAGCTCGTTCACCAAATTGACCAAAATACAGGGGTGAGTTTGGGATTCTCTAAAAGGTTCGTGTGGATTTTCGCCTCCACCTAACCCTTATATTCGGTAGGAACCATGCAAATGTTCTTTGAAATTATAGTAACTGAATTAGATTTTTTTTTTTTAAGACTTATTTGGTTAGCATCACAAGATAATAATAATAAAAATACATTAAGGATATAAATTTTATTAATAGGAGGAACAGGGATAAAAAAATAAAAATAAATTTATTCTTTCAATAATTTTAAAGTAAATTTGTCACTTCAAAACAGGAAAAAAAAAAAGAGCACCGATTTTTTCTGGATTTTCTATTTTGAAACGTAAAGTTTAGATTAGGAAATTGGTACATGTGATAGATAATTCAAACACTCTGAATAAACATCTACTTTTTTACAGGTGCTTAAGATCTTAATTCTTGTATTATTTGGGTTGATAAAAAGGTCAGCAGGTATGATTTTTTTTAATTAATATAGATATTTTAAACAACTTATATATATTTTAATTAATTTCATGAGTTTTAAAATTAGTGAGCATATAAATTTTTAGTAACCCTGAAATTTATAAAATTTAAATTAATAATATTTAAAAAGTAAATCCAATGTAACATATACTATATATTATCTATTTTAGACTTCTCAATCCATCCATTTCCAAAACTTTTATTTCAATTTTTTTCATGATTTTATTTTTTACAATCCAAAAACTCCAAAACACATATTAGCAATTAATATTATTAATAAGATCTTGGATCCGAACACTCCCTTCGGGTATAAAATATCACACTCAAGCCCTAAATAATTAAATTACACCCTCCTCCTCCAGTATTTATATAATTTTTATTGTACGACTAGGTGGTCCTCTCCACCATTACTCTTTATAGGCACTCTTTTTTAGAAATGAATTATTGGTTCCTCTGTGAGCTCTGTAAAGGGTGGTCACACTCAAAAAGATGAAGTAGTACTTCAACTTACTTCAAGTTATTTACACAATCAAATCCATAGTCTACCTCAAATAATATGAGATAGAGAAACTAGGCAGAGTCCAATATCATACCGTAGGCTAGCATTTCGACTAAAACAAAGTGAAATAACAAGCCCATGTATCAAATTTATAGTAAAGTAGATTTGTAATGAGATACAAAAAAATAGAAACAGCAAGCACAAAAGAAACATGTCCCCTGTTTTTCTCATTTTAAAATTATATAAATTCATTCAAAAACAAATTTACTACATGTTTTTGTTATATATATATATATATATGAACAACAAATAAGGCAAGAGGAAAGACTTATAGAGGGAGAGACAGAGAGAGGCCCCAGGAGGTCAAAAAAATATTCCATTCTTGTGGTTCGAAGGACATGTACACTTCTCTTTCATTTTATCATCTCCTATTAAAGCATTAAAATCTGGTGGTTGTGAAAGTTCTGACCGGGAGTTGCAAGATTTTCTTTCTATAAATTTATTTGAATTCATATGATCTGCACTGTATTTGATAACTTCATTCAGATTATTTTTTAATTAATTTTCTTTCCATCAAATTATTTTAGATTTATAAATTGAATTGTACTTTTGACTAATTAACTCAAATTATTTTTAAAAATTTTTAATTAATTTTTTTTAATTTCATTATTAAGCATTGATTTAATTACAAATTATATTTATAATTTATTTTAATTTTTTTCTATAAAATTATTATAATCTCGTAACTTAAATATTTGATATATTATAATGAATTAATCCAAGTCAATATAATATATTATTATTTTAATATTTTAAAAAAATTATTTTAAATTTTTTTAATCAAACTATATTTTTACAAGTTTGATAAATTATTTTTTATTTATAAACTTAGATAATTTACGTTAAGTTAACCTTCACATAATTTAATGTTTTTTTTTTAATAAAAACATTAGCAACACCAAGAAAAATTTGACCGGATCAACTTACAATGATCTTGTAATATTCTAAACCTCAAGAGAGGCTCAACGCGTTACAAATCTGAAGAAAATACTAACAATTTTTTTAATGGAAAACTCCTTCAGTATTAGTTTCCTCACAACATGCTCAAAAAAATTCCAGGCAGCAGACTCACATGAAATTGGCAGCTAAACAAGGAAAGCTCATTATATTCCTGCTATGGTAGTGTGAACATAATTAACAAGAGAGCACTTCATTAAACCACAGATTAATACCAACTAGACAAGATTATACCACAATTTAGTTGAAGCTAACTTACATGAACACTGCACCCAGATCAAAGCATTCTTAACTATGCTTGGACACGATTGTAGAACTAGAAGACAAGGCCGAGCAAGGAAGGTTGATAAGATATGAGAAAGAAAAGAAGCAGCAACACAAAAGCTACACCCCAAGGCGAGCCTCCAGCTCTATGGATCGCACCAGGCTCAGACCCTGGAATAGGAATGCTAAACTGGCTGCCTGAAGAGAGCCAGTGTACTGAAATGATCAGAATCAAAGGAGAAATGACCAGTAACCTTTGTAGCATCTCGGAAGCTGTGGCCATTACTGCATCATAAACTACATAACCCAAGAATCCACAGACGAATATTGTAGCTGCCATTAGGACCCATTGCTCTGAGAGTGTGAAATTTGTAGGTCTTGGCCTTGGAGCTGAAGCCATGAGTAGAAGAACAGATCTTTAATGAATGATCCTTGCTTGAAGTCCTAGCCAAAACAGTCAGGTTTGAGGAGTGAATGGTGAGTGCCAGAATATAATGCATAGATCCTCTCGTCCTTTTATGTTTGTTGTGGGGGTCTCACTATCCACTGCTGATTTAATTTTTAGTGGTGAAAACTATTTGCATTTCTGACTCTTGTCCTATATATACTCTAATTTCTTACAGGGGTAAGTAAAATTTCACAAAATCTAGAACCCAAAATCTTGACTCTCCCTTGTGAAGGCATGTATTAGCGGCACGTGAAGCTTACATTGGGTTCATCTGAAACTCGATTGACCTAGCTAAACTCGGTTTAAATCTGCTTGGTCAACTCTAAGAATTTATTTAGAAAAAAGTAGATTAATTTTATTTTAATAAAAATAATGTATGAATTGTCTTAGTGACAAATAGTTTTTGAGATTAGGTTCCGAAATGGGTCTAACAACTATAGTTATATATACAATATATGCTCACAAGTCACAACCATTGAAAGCGTGAAAAGCATGGAAGCAATATCAAAGGTTTAGACACCTTTTGGGAATGCAGGCTGACAGAATCAAAAGCAGTAAAAGCATGTTTTTGCTGCTTCTGAGTGTCAAAATGATAGCAAGAAAACACATGCATTTAATTTCCTGAATTCTACATTACTGAAGCTGCAAAGGATATCAAAAGATGTGGGACAACAACAAACATATTCACCATTAAACACAAGATAATGTCTCAGTGTAGTTGAAAGCATAGCAGGTAGCATGCTTAAGGGGAAAACTCAAAATCTTCTTCAATATGTTGTTCTTGAAGCTGTAAGATATGATCTCACCAGAGATTCTCAGCACCAGCAATGCCCCTTCTTCATCGTTCCCCTCGATAAACGACAGTAAATCAAACCATTTCTCGGTCGAAAATGGTGAGGCTGTAGGATCTTTATCTCCTGTTATCTCAGGGTATGCCATTACAATGGCATTCATATGGAGACAGTACTTAGCAAACCATTTTGAGCAGCCTCTCTCCATGGAATAAACTACTATGGATTGATCAGTACTTTGGTCATGAGACATATCAGGGGAGACAATACCCATGTTCAAATCATCAGGTTTTTGGTTTCCTGCTAGAATCCCAATAAAATGCAATTGCCCGCCAGACTCCCCGAAGTACCTGAAATTTTTATCCTGCCACTTCTCAGGAAGTGGGGGCCTTGGAATTGTCTGAAGGCATTCCATATCAAGCAAGAAACTTAAACCATTCCCCATAGGACTCATCCAATGAACAGCACCATTCCAAGAGACACCATCAGTAAAGTTGACAGATAAAAGATTAAAATTTTCAAGCTTCACAGAAAGCTTCCAACCCTTGGTCTCAGATGAGTACACATAAATTTTAAGCTCTGAATTAAAGAACTGAATGCAAACAACCCGATAACGAGGCGATTCCAAAGGATCAAACACCAACTGAATCCGAGTAAAATATTTTCCATCGTTAGGTGGTAGTGGCAGCAATGCGAATTGTCTTGTGGTAGGATTGAATATATAATCTGTTGGTTGAGACCTCTCTGTTGAACACCATCTCCATTTAGGACACAGAAGCAAGCCATTACATGACTGAGAAACATATGTACTGAAACACCCTCGGTTGTTGGGGTCAAAATCAAGAAAATCATAGGACAAGTAGACTAATGATTTCCCATCAAGAGAAACATATTTGTGCTTAGATGGTTCCTTGAAAAATGAGGAAAAATTGAGAAGAAGAGCAGAGACGGCATGAGGATTGCGGCGGGTATGGAGGATAGCAAAACTCGTGGGGGAGATTATAGAAAGCCATTTCTTGGAAACTAACTTGAGTTGCAGGACCGCTTTTGCAGGCACACGCAGTAGAATCTCAGTGACAAGGTCATCATTGCCAAAGACAGCATCAATAGATGATAAATGCTTCTGCGTTGGCAAGGTCATGATGGAAGCCATTGATCCTGTGATTTGGTTGCAATTATCATAAGCAAATCTCTCTTTTTAAAGGGTTAAGTCTTGAAGTAACAAAATGGACGGCAGATTACTTCAAGAAAGAAGATCAGATTACTTTGGAGTTTTAATTATTGTTCTAATCGCCTAGAGCAATAACCTTACAAAAAAACTTGGTGGCATTTTCTAGAATTCCATCTCATAGATATACAAGAATCATAGAAACTTAGATGTCAAATTCTGAACATGATATGGTCTTGGACCTTCGCATCTTATTTGCTATTATTGTTTCAGAAAATTAGATTGTCATTTAACCAAGCCCGGGTCTGACCTGACCCAACGATCGGTTATAAATTAATTGGATCAGTTCAAAATTTATTTTACTTTGAATTTAAAAAAATTAAAAAATCATGTCGTTTCAGGTTTTTTTTAAAAAAGAAATTAGGTTTGAAATAAAACCAGACCATTCCTCGGTTCCAGGTGAGCATGTCATCAAATTAACATTGTTTCTAATTTTTTGGCCTTTTAATTTAATATTTGATATTGAAATTAATATTGTTTCTCGTTTTTTGCATTTTGAATGACACTCAATGTTTTTGTGATTGTTGAATTGGATATTTTTGTTTTTACTAAAAGACTTTCAACTATCAACAGATATCAAAGCAGCTCGAGGTTTAATTAAGTTGAAGGTAGATAATTAAATCGAATCAGCGAGTTAATTTAGATTTATTACAAAAGAATATCATATCATATCATATCATATAAAAAAAAAATTAACAAAAAAAAACTAAACAATATTTTTTTTAAAAAAAATAACCCTAAGTTGATCCAATTAAATTTCACTTTCAGACATATCAAGTTGTGAGTTTACTTGTTAATTCACTTCAATTTTACCAAGTTAACTTTTCTAAACAAGTAACAGTACCTTAGGCCCTGGCCGGGCCTAATTTGACAATGCAAAATGCAAAACTTCTGCTGCTTTAATTCCAATTTCGACGCCAGACACGTACTGCCTTGGTATGGATTGTGCACTGGATTTTTATGGCAAGAGATGAGAGGGAGTCCCAGAGTTGTTTGTTCTAGGAGATATGAAGATTGAGGAGGGAAAAAGCATAAGACCCTCATCATGGTTCATTTTGATTTCAAAACAAGCAAGTGAACAATCTGAGCCTTTTATTTGAATAACAAAGGTATATGGTGATCAGAGATACATTGTTTGATACAAATAAATGGGAAGTGATAAATGGCCATTCCGAGTGTTTACACCCTAGTTATAAACTCAGACCCTAGACTGATCTAGGTTAAGAAAAAATAAAGGCATTGATCGGGTCAAAAACCATAATTATAAAAATGGATTAGCTTAGATGACCCAGGATAAAACAAAATTCTCCAAACTTGTGAGATAAACTTTGCCCCGAATCGTGTTTTATAAGTATGGTTTACAACTGATCTTAAGATGAGGAAGGATCTTCACTGATCTTAGTGAATTTTTTTAGCTAACTAAACATAGGATCATCACCAGCAAATCCTTGAACTGCTCTCCTAAAGCATACCTGAGAGCCCTGGCTACAGGACTGTAGCTGCATTTATCTTTTTGATTAATTATGATAAAAATAATTTTAAAATTATAATAATAATTATTTATATTTATATATTAACTTAGATTAATTTATATTAATTATCTTAACTCATAATTTAAGTTTATCCAAATCAATTCTCAAATCAAATTTTAAAATTATAATAATAATAATAATTTTTAAAACTTTAATAATAACTATTTTTATTTTATGTTAACCCTCTTGTCATATGACAAGGATATTATTATAAATGAACCTCTAAATCGAGTTTTAAAATTATAATAATTATTATTTTTATAATTACATTGACTTGAATTAACAATTAACTTCATTCGTGACACAGGCTTTGTCTTAAATCAAAACTATAACGATAATCATTTTTATTTTTATGCCAACTCTAGTTAACCTGACTCATGACTTGAACCTCGACTAATGACCTCTATTTTATTTTGAATTGTCCCCGAATTAGATTTTAAAAATATAATAATAATTATTTTTATCCTTACATATTTTAGTTGGATAATTTTAAAATTAAATTTTTTTTGCAATGATATTTTAAAAATAAAAAATATTATCTCTTAAGATATTTTTTTTGCATCACTTGTTTTAAAAATATAAAAATTTACTCTAAAATGGTTTAAAACAACAAATTTATTTTTATATCTATATCTTTAATTTTATCTTTTTAATCAAATATCTTTTTATTTTTATTATTTCATTTTTTTCTATTTTAAAATAATAATCCAACACTATCTTTTATCTTTATCTTTATGTACATAACAATAAAGATACGTACTTATTCAAATAATAAAAAGCCACTCACTCAATCTCTTCAATCGAATCATATGCTGAAATTCTGTCGTAGGAGTTCTACCATATGGCATTTCGTCCCGCATTTCATTGTTGGTTAACTAAACATGTAAAGATGAATTAAACAGTAAAATGCATGAATTTAAGCAAATATAATATAAAAACATAAACAACTAATATAACCAGA